AGTTCTTCATTGTAGTATATGAATGAAAAGCTGTATTTCGTGTTGCATTTAACAGGGAGTAAACAGAAAGAATTTAGTATTTTGTTCAGGAAAGCAAGTAATCTGAAGCATAAGTCAAAATTCACAATGTTAGATTGATGTAATATAAAAAAGACCATTGATGCGCCTTTCAAGGTTTTAAGTGAGATAATTATTTAATTTTTTTAGTGGAATCAATTTAGCACAACATAGGGAAAAAAAAAAAAAAAAAAACATTAATTGACCTTCACTCATGTGGTTCCTTTTGCCTACATCTTATTAAGCTCTCATTTTTCTCTATGCAGGGAAGAAGAACATTTCACCATCTAAGTGGAACAGTGAAATTTGAGGCTTTAAATCTAGATCACATGGCCAAAGAGCAAACAGTAACTGCACTAAACTACATACATTTGTGGAGCAGAATACAAGATCAAATTAGAGCTCGCAGACTCTGCATGATAACAGAAGCCAGGATTAAGCAAAAGAAATTGGAAAACCAGTTAAAACTTGACGCAAAGATTCATGAGCTAGAGGTATTGTTATTACTGTCATCTTCCTGTGGTGGCTTGTTTTCAACTTTCGTTAAAGTTCTAAACAAACCATTATAGAAACCATTATCAATATCAAGAAAATATGCTTTGATGGTAAAAGTGAATGTCAGGTGGAATGGTGTGGAGGTTCTGAAACAATGGAAGAGATACTTTCCAGGATACATCACCGAGAAGAGGCAGCAGTAAAACGAGAGCGAGCCATGGCATATGCCTTCTCTCATCAGGTATAATTTGATCCACTTTCTTTCTCTTTGTTAAAATACAAAATTTCACCACTTTTCACTGGTTATCCGACTTAATTTGGTTATAGTAACGTGGGCTATTTGACCATTGTGCCCTTAATTCAATAAAAAAATACCACTTAGTCCCCATTTTTGAACTATTTAAAAAGTATGACTTTTTTTTTGTAAAGATAATATTAATCTGTTCTTGTTTGACTGTTGACTGACCTTTATACTCGAGTACGTGACCTTCATACTTGAGTAAATCAAATGTCACGAGTTTATAAGTCAATATACTCAAGTGTATAAGTCATGTACTCGAGTAAATGAAACCAAATTTTCTACGAGATTTTTCCAATGCGTAGCTCTCGTAAAGTTATGTGAAATAAAAAAAAAACACCTGATTCAGATACCTTAGTAAAAAATTACGGTCTTCCGAAGTTTTACTCTAAAATTTCTAAAGTTTTGTAATGCCAATAGGTTTTGTGATATCTACAAACTCCTCCTCAGGTTACTTAAGTTAAGTCCAATATTATGAGTATATGACTATAGAAACTTGTTTGATCCAAAAAATCTCGTGAATTTTTTTTTACCATAAAACTTCAGAAGTTCATAATTTTTAACTCGGGTGTCCGAATCAAGTGCTTTTTTCTATTCCACGTAATTTTTCTAGAGCTACGTGTTGGAATTTTTTTAGAGAATTATTTGTTAGAGTTTGAAAGAAAAAATTTAAATTACATCATTTTGCAAAGATAAAATATGTCAAACGGGGACAGAAACATTTTTTGGACAAAATTTTTTTGGCACAAAAGAGCACCTGATTTGAACACCTGAGTCAAAAGTTACGGTCTTCCGAAATTTTACTCTACAATTTTGTAATGCCAATAGGTTTTGTGATACCCACAAAACTTGTTTGATCAAAAAAATATGGTCTTTCAAAGTTTTACGGTTAAATTTTTTCCACAAGATTTTTTGAATTAAATAAGTTTCTATAATCATATACTCATAATATTGGACTTGACTAAGGTAACTTGAGGATGTGCTTTGTGGGTATCACAAAACCTAAACATTACAAAATTTTGGAAATTTCAGAGAAAAACTTTGAAAGGCCGTAACTTTTGACTCCGGAGTCTGAATCAAGTGCTTTTTTTTTATTCCACATAACTTTTCGAGAGTTGCGCGTTGAAAATTTCCCGTAGAAAATTTGGTCTCATTTACTGGATTACATAACCCATATACTCAAGTATATTGTTTGGAATAGGAAATACTCGAGTATCTGGGTTCTATACTCGACTAAATGTTAAGAAAAATCCAAATGACGAAAAGTACTAGAGTATCTGGGTAGTGTACTCGAGTATTTGTTGTTCCATGCACTCGAGTATATGGGTCATGACTCGAGTTTATTGTTCGGTCAACGGTTAAACAGAGGCAGATAAGTGAAATATTTTGATACGGGGTAAAGTGATAATTTCTATGTAATTAAGGACACAATGGTCAAAAAACCCAGTAATGTGACTCTCAAAACCAAATTTTACATTTTCATGACCCGAACTCGGTGTTCTCTTGAACTAATTCTGAAAAGTCACTCCCCTATTAAACTCGACTAGCGAGTGTAAGGTGAGAGTTTAATTGGGAATTGATTTTTTAGAATTACTTCAAGTGAATTTCGAGTTCAAGGCATGAGAATGTAAAATTTGACCAGTTAATTTGGGGGTGAGAACGGTTGAACATCGGTTTGTTTTTTTTATGCTGAACCGAACCGATCAAGTGATTCCTGCAACAGATTTTGAAAAACAGTTCACCTCTAAAATTGGTTCGGAAAATATGGTTATTGATGATATAATTCACAGTTCGGTTTGGTTCATATAATATTTCACACTTCTAGGAATGGGTGTGAACCAAATTCAACTGAATTGGTAAAGTAGTTTGGTTAGGAAAACCAAATTGGTTTTGGAAAAATAATTTACTTCTTCAACCAGTTAAAAAAAAAAAAAATTTGATTTTTAAACCGGTTGGAAAAAATGTGATTATTAATGGTATTGTTCAGTTCAATTTACAATTCGATTTGATTCATATGGTTTTTCTCACACCCCTTGCACTTATATGTGAATTCGCATATACCATATTGCAGTGGAGGCCCAATTGTAGCCAGTATTTAGGCCAGGCTTCTTACAGGCTTGGCAAAGAAAACTGGGGTTGGAGCTGGAAGGAGAGATGGGTTGCAGCCCGTCCTTGGGAAATAAGGGTTCGTGTTGTTCAGGGTCCCATAACAAAGAAAATCAATGGACAGCAGCTTAGAACCAAAGTAGACAAGAAAGACCACAATGATACCAAACTACCCTTGTCTAAGCCTGACTTGTCAAATGGGAAAGAAATTGAGAAAGGGAAAGAAAACACCACTCCATAGCTGTCAAAAATAATCCAGCCAAATGACCCACGCTGTCACCTGTGTCATCTTTGGATAATGCAGAGCCAGCTAATTAAATGGTTCATGACTTGATAAAATCAATTTCCTGAAGTATCCCTTGTTCTACACCTTTTATTCATCCTTTTTTTTTTTTCCCCTCTGGTCTTCTATTTTTTGACTTAGCATATTTGGCTTGAATAGAATATGTCATTTGGTGTATTGTATACATTAAATTCGGAGTATTGTAATCTGTATTTACATGATCCATTAGAAACAATAATAATAGTTCTTCATGTTCTCAATCCCAACATAAATAATGCCCTTTTTTCATGTTGAAGTCTTGTGGTTTCTGACTTGGAGTACATAATTCAGCTGCTTTAGCATTTAATCATCAATGAATATCATTGAATGGTTTTTAGACAGAAAAATTAAGAAATAGCACGGTTGTACTATCTACGGTGTTGTATTAAATATTTGCCACTCTTGACACATAGCAACCTATGAGTTGATGACCCATTAAATTTTTGGTTGTAATCTTATTTATCAACCGACTAGCTGCAACACCAACTACCAAAAAATAATTGCCATGATCACAACAGAGGTCAAGGGTTTTTCTATCTTTTTATTTTTATTTTTATTATCCCTTGAAGAAAAAGAGCATTCCAACCTCGAGATATTTTATGAGGCTCTGAGATTTTAAGGTAGGGGACCACAGACAGGTTTACAAGTATCACACTTTGTTGGCATCCATGAGTGTGCACTCTTTCATAATTGAGCATTTTTGTGCTCATCCATCCCCTTCCATATCATGGCTCCCCCTGCAGATGTATTCCACTTTCCCCACTTGTTTACCTTGTAGCATTTTTCTACCCAACTCATCGGTTATGAATTGCCACCTAAAGATTCTCCCCAACACAGTACCTCATGTCACTGCTGTAAGTTTATAAACAAACAAAAAAGCACTTGATATTTTTGTTCCAAAAGGTAAGATGCGGTTCGAAGTTCAATGGTAGAAACCATTTTACTAGAAGCTAAAGCTTCGGAATGAATTAAGCTCTCTCTACATTGACTGGGGTAAGTAGGTAAGTCGGGCTGTTTTTCCTTTATCACGTTAAACTTTTTATTCCTAATGAACCTCTCAGTCACTATCATAGCATACTAAAACGGTTGAAGAAGAACTACAAATATGACGTGTGAAAGGAAAAGCAGCAAATGATGCTGACTTTGGGAAATTGCCCTTTTACCAAGCTCGGAATCAACTCTCACGCAACCCTTTTCTGTTGTCAATAGTTTCTACTGTTCATGGACAATGACTTCACGGGCAAATGCTCCCAAAATCCAAGCACGAAAGAGATAGATATAATGAAAGATGTAGAAAACTTCCAATTGTTTTTGCAGGATGAGGAAGCTAGGGACTAGTGAGGGTAGATAGTTGCACTAGATAGCAGTAAAAAAAAAGGAACAAAACAACAATCATTCTCTTGCAAAGAGAAACCAACCTGAGCGATCAATAAAGGCCGATCCTTTTTCCCTCATTTGAAACAACACAGCAACAACCATCCTGAGCCAAAATCATACACGAGTTTAATTATCTCACCCAAAGACGCAAAATTCCTATGTCGGCTTATTTGGGTTGTTTACCCTATTTTGTTACGGAGAGAACGCCTCATTATGCATTTGGGTCTGCACTTAGTTGGAAATATACAATAAATTGAGCAAACTAGCTATGCTATTTTGTTCCACTACCAGAAAAAAGAAATGGAAGAGAAGTATAAATAAGACACAATAACCACTACAAATTGCAAGAAAGGAGAACATTGAAATCCAACATAGATGAAACAAAACAAACATAGTACTTCTTCTAGTCTTGGTCAAAGCTTGAAAAACATAGGTAGAACTTAAATTAACAGATAAAAAGCAGAACAAACCGGGGATTTGGAAAACCTGAATATTCACCCCAGATTTTCTTCATTCCCACGGCTTATAGGCCATTGAAATCGAAGCATCTGAAATCCAAACCAAACTCCTCATCCATGTTGCTCCTGAAAATTCACCCTAATCTTTCAAAAGCAAGATCTCCATCGATTATCTTCAAGACAACCCACGAACCCTGAAATGCCCCCAAAAAAAACAAAATTGCAAGTAAGAACAAAAGAGAGGAACCAAATTGAGATTACAAGAAATGGGTTTTCAGGGGAGAACCTGAAGGAGAAGGAAAGTTTGGATTTTTTTGTGTTTCAATCAATGGCGAGAATCAGAGGAAGCAGAGGACGGCTTGTCAGATACGCCATCGTGTTCCTCTTCACCCTGAATTCGTGCTGGTATGCGGAACCCGGAGAAGCCACCGGAGCCGGCGAAACCGACGCCGGAAAAAGACTGATACATCGCCGGCGAGAGGTAGTGATGTTGGTTGTGGTCTACCGTCGCCTCGGCGATCGAAGGGTCTATCCAAGCACGAACCGAAGGGGTGTTACTGGACTGAAGGGGTCCCCTCTGAGAAAAATACTGGCCATGGCCGAACACCGACGCCGGTGCCGGCGACGGTGAGTTAAAGATAAACTCACCGCCATGGCCACTGTTACCAGGATCTGCAGAAGCAGCAGCATTCCAAGCCACCAATCTATGTAGTCGTCCTTGCTCGTGTTCCTCCATGTGGTGGTGGTGCTGCTGCTCAGACCAACCGGCACCGAAGGATCCGCCGTCAAAGCCGAGTGCGGCGTTTCCGGCGAAGAGCACTTGCTCGTGGTGGTGGTGGTGGTGGGTCTGAGCCTGGTGGTGATGAAGCAGAATGGGGTCCTGAAAGGACTGCAATGAAAGCCGCAGATCCTGCGACGTCGTTCGGGACAACAAATCCTGAGGTGGAGGGTAATTCTGAAACGACGCCGTTGCGGCCTCCATGGGAAAGAAGGACTTAATAGTATCAGCAATGTCAGTGTCCAACTGAAGAAAACCAGAACCACTGTTATATTTGTTGTTTTCATCTTCCAATTGTTGCGTATGAAATTGTTGTTCTGAGATTCTTCCACCCACCACAACTGTCGCCGCTTCCATGCGGCTACTGGAAGCGACGGTTATTGGGTCGTCCACCGGTGGTTGACGGTGGTGAACCAATTGGTGTTGTGGTGGGGCGGTGGTGGTGGGGATCCATGCCGGGAGCTCGGCGAGCTCGTCGATGGCGGCTTTGGCCTTCTTGATGAGCCAATCCACCGCCTTGCTGGGACGGTCGTAGCCGAGGCGGTCCTGCACGTCGTAGAATTGGATGGCGGTGTGTGCCGACAGCCGTACACGGCGGTCCCGGGGACCTTTTGCGGTGCAGACCTTGCTGTGGCGGTCCTTGCGCCCTGTTGACCGTACAATGTGGCCTCCTTGCACCTCCACGATTTCTCCTCCTCCTCCTGCGCCGCCGCCGCCGGAGGCGGTTCTCATCGCCAGTCTTGACGATGTTGTTGTTGTTGCTGCTGCTGCTGCTGCTGTTTCTCCCATCTTTCTTGCATATTCGATGGAAGGTGATGATGATGATGATGGTGGCGGAGGATGAGGGTGAGGTGGTGGAAGGAGAAAAGATCGTTTTTTTGGTGGTTGAAGTGGGTTCAACAGCTCTGTATCTAAACCTAAATAAGATTGTTGTTGTTGTTGTTGTTGTTGTTGTTGTTGATGATAGTGGTGTTGGGGTTGTTGCAGATATTGGAATTGGAGATGATGAAAGGTTGGGTCTGTGTCTTGGTGATGTGGGTAATGAGGATGGCGTTTGTGCGATGTAGGAGAAGAATCTTGCTCTTCTTCTTCTTCTCCTTCTTCCTCTGCTACATGCCTTGAGTTTAGAATCTGGTTTTGATGATGTTGCTGATGATGATGGTGATGGTGATGAAGTTGATGATTCCTGTGAGGATCCAGACTCAGACCCTTGTTGTTGTTGTTGTTGTTGTTGTTGTGGTTTTCCTCTTCCAGCTTTTAATGAAGCAGTGCTCTTTTTCTTAGTAGGTTGTTGATTCTTTACACTCCAAGCTTTGCTTCTTCCCACTCTCCTCTTGTTGCTTGTGCAACTGCCACCACTCTGAAACTTGGTTCTGTTCCCTCTGCTTCTTCTGTTGCTTCTCCCAGAAGTTCCTGCCATTCAAATTTCCCAGTTCCATCACCACCACAAAGAGCCCCTAAACTGAGAAAACGAAACTAGACCAGGAATGTTACGCAAACTCTCTTTTCAGCCTAACCCATCTCTCTCTCTCTCTCTCTCTCTCTCTCTCCACACTACTTTTTGCCTTTTGGCTAATTGAACTCCTTTATGCACACTATGTACTAACCAAACTGGAACTACACAATTGTACTGTTGGGTTGGTTAATACCCACTTGGGGGAACCACCCAACTAGATGGTGAGGGGTCCTCTTAGCAAAAATTTCCTTATCTCGACACACAGGCAGGCAGACACAAGAGGCAGAGAAAGAAAGAGAAAGAGATAAATAAAAAGAGAGAAAGAAAGATAACCAGTAAATTAAGGGGCTATAGGGAAGAGGAATTCATTCTGGCCCCTATACAAAGCCCCTTGATGATGGCAGTGTTAAGGGTGACAGTGTTTGGTCAGAATGGTTGTGTTAAAGATCTGTGATTTCATCACTGCCCTTCTGCTGCTGTTCTTGTACTACCTTACACTATAACATAACATAATACCACCAACCCATCCAAAATTCTTTCAATCACCAAAACTTGTTCAATTTTCACCAATTTCACTTTCACCAATTTCACCCTTCTCTCTTTCTCAATTTTAGTCCTTTATTATTATTATAATAATAATTATTATTATTATTATTATGTTTTGAATTTAGAATTTTTACTTGCTAGTTAGAAGTTAGAACCATTGGTTTTATCTCAAAGCAGTCTCTGTGAGATAGATCCTTTACATGCCACCACCACACCTCTTGAAAGGGACACCCTTCACAGCTTTTCTGGTTTCTATTTTTTTTTTCCCCTCTCTCTCTCTCTCTCTCTATATATATATATATATATATATATATAGCTTCACTTTAAAAAGAAACAACACCATAACATGGATGCTTAAATTACTTCAAATATTTTCAAAAAATAAAATAAAATTTACTTCAAAAACCATCTCTTTTTTCTCTGGTTTGTGAAATTATCTTACTTGGCATCTGCAGGGCCTACCCTTCTCTTTCATTTCTGGAACTATATTCTGTGCAGTGTTATAAAAACCATCCGACCTTTCTAGTTAGACTGGTTGTCTCATAAACCAGTTCTAATTTAGATACCAAATCGGTTATGTATTTAATCCGATATAAAATTGGTGAATCCTGAATATAATTGCTACTAAACACACACCGATTTTAAAAAAAATGATTTTATGACAATCTTGACAAAATGCTCGAACAATATCATTAATAAATAATGTAGATTATAACTTATAATATTTACTATTAATCAAATTTTAATTATTAGCTAAAATATTTCTAATTTTATATTTATTGTATTTATTATATATATTTAATTCATGCAATTAAATTAATGATTCACTGATTGAACCAGTAACCCATTAATTCAATACCTGATTGAGTAAATGACAGGTTCAAGTTTAATAATTTTGATTGTGTGCCTATATTTTTTGTATTAGTAAAAGTATTTCTCCAGTCAAACTCAAAAGATGTAGTTTTGGGATTATAAGATTAAAAAATTATGATGATAAAGACTAATATAATCTATAATATATTAGAATTATAAAAACGTCTTGATTTTTGCTCCAAAATGACGTCATTTTATGCTCATCGGAAATAATTTATCTCCGTTGACTGGAAAAATCTTTTACCCTACTTTTATACCCATTTTTAAAAAAAAATTAATACTACTTCTAAATTTTGAAATGTAAAAGAAAAAGAAAATATTCGTGTCAGTATAATTTTTTTGCTTTTGCATATATTTTAAGAAATATGTAGTTTGATTGTTTTTATTTTTAAATGTGAAGATAATAATTATTTCATTTATATTAATAAAGCTCATAAGTTATAAATATATTAGGATTTATTAATAAAGTTTTAAATATTCACTAGATATGTGCCCGTATATATAAAAGAAAATTTAATATGCGTTTTAAAAGAGAGAAGAATTAGATTGTGGCTTTCCATATCGTTATCGCTTGTAAAACGCGTAGTCCATTTCTGATTTCAAGACTCTGTTCTTGAGAAACCAACTCAGTTTTGAAACATTTAGAAAAAATAAAAAATAATACAATTTAACGTGTGAAAAAACAACCGAGCAAAGAAATTTAGAAACAATCAACAGGGATTTTTAATAAAAGTTAAAAGTTTATCTTTCACATGTTATAGAGGTAATTTTATCTCTATTATATGAAATTACAAGGAGTTTGTGTGAAAAGAAAAGAAAAGAAAAAATAATATAAATCTCATATACTTTTATGAGTGTGTAGGAGATTAAATTATTTCTTATAATATGAGAAATATTAATCTCAACATTAAAACATGCTCCACATTGATAATAATTTTAAAGGAATTAATTTTTCTCATGTTATAGGAGATAATTTTATCTCATATATATATACAAATGTGTGGGATCATATGAAGAGGAGAGATTAAAAAAGAACGCATAAGTCTTACACACTTTTATATTTATATAAAAAATAAAATTTATGCGATACAACATGAAAAATATTATTTTGAGAAATTCATTTTTATTCACATTCTGAAAAGGTGTGATTATCTTCCAATTTACATAGAAGAATATTGGTAAGTTTTTGTAGTTTCAACTTAAATGTAAGAAAAGTTACTTTTTACCCAATATGTCCAAAATCTATCCTTACAAAACAAGGCCATAAAAATATACAAAAAAAAAAAAAAAAAACAAGGCCATAAAGGTGAATCCATAAGAAAACAATATACTATTTGATATAATCTTTTACTAAAATTTTCTTCTGTTTTCATATAATGATCTTTCTATTTTCTTTTTCAATTACGCATTTATAAAAAAATAAAATAAAAATTCTACAAGTGGCACTATTTATAAGCCGTGTTTTAAAAATCAGATCGGACCGATCGGGTCGACCAGGATCTCAGTGACTCGATAGGTTTTCCAGTTCGAGCTACCCTTTGGACCGGTTACGCAGTCGACCCGGTTTGGACCGGTCGACTCGGCGGGATCTCGGTGACCCGGCGAGTTACAGGGGACCCGGTTTGGACTGGTCAAAGGTTGTTTTTTTAAAAAAAAAAAAAAAAAAATAAGTGCTATCAAAATGAATGACGATGTTTTCCAGCCTTTGAGTTTCATACTTTCATCCAAAAAAATCTAAATTACTCTCATATCTCGTCGATTGTTGTTCTTCACTGACTGAGATTGACGTCACTCTCATATTTCTCTTTTTTGTCTTAACTCTTAAGGATGCATAACCATTTGCAAAACGAAGGTCAGTGACTGAAATTGAGCAAGTAAATCGTTGTTATCTATTTCTTATTAGGATTCTGGTCACTCAATCTGCTCTCATTCCACAACTGGTTTGATAATTTTGGTTTATTAATCAATACCCAACATTTTGTCTTTTCTCTGTTGTAATTTTTTATTCTAACTTTGTTTAAGTTATTATTATTAATTATTGTTGTTGTCATTACTTACCTACGTGCTTCAGAGAAAAAAAATCAATGAAAATATTTTGAGAGCTCTATTGATTTAAAAAATCAGATTTTTGTTAACAAATTGACAATTATCGTTACTAAACTGAATATCCATATTTTATAATAGCGTAGCTAATTAACTATTTTTGATGAACCAAATTAGAAACATTTTACATGAAAAACGAGGGATATATATATATTGATAGTTTTCTTATGAAAATTTTAATATAAGTAATATATTTGTATTTTTTTAATATGTGAAAAGTAAATTCGGTTGAATCCGATTCTATCCGGTTAAATCAATGACCCAGTACCTCAATCGAATCGATCACGAAACCAAATTTTAAAACAGTGATTATAACTACAGTGTATTGAGTGGAGCAGCGCGAAATCATATGTGAAGAAGCCACCTCACATAATATTTTTGCAGGACCAAATAAATCGGTTTTTTCTTTTTATTTCTTTTCACTTTTCAGTATGTGCAGGACCAAAACATTAACTATAGTACTATACATATTAGAAAGACGTAGATTTCGGTTAGACATAGGCCTCAAATCATCAAAATGACATGTTCATTATAACATCTGATAGTTTTCCATTGAGGACAGAACAAAATACTTTTGCAGCTTTAAATTAAATTATTACCATATATTATAATTGTATGTACGCTAAGTTTGATATACATACATTTTTTTTCATTTTTTCTTTTGTTATTGTAGGTAAGTTATCTACAATAAGTTCAATACGACGATATTTTGGGACAGAAATTATAGTATTTTTGTAATTTTAATTTATTTCAAGGTTATAATAGTCTTTATATTTATAACTTTTTAAGATTTCAATACCAAAACGACATCATTTTAAGAATGAATTTAGATAACTTATCTGCAA